GGGGGGCGGGGGGCGGGGGGGGTGCATTCCCTACAAAAATCTGTTCAGACAAATCACATTCCTGTGACGCAAGAGACCAAAATGACACCTCAAGTTTTAGCTGCTCTGAGATGTGCTAAAACTCTGACTTGTCTTAAATAAATGCACTCACTCACGCTCAACTCTGGCTTTTAACACGTTTGGTTTTATTTTTTTAAAATCTTGGACATCATGTGCGTAGCATGCTAGCTCATGCTGTGATTATCTTGCATAAGTTAGCTGTAGCATGTGTTTGCGTGCGCTCAGTGGTGTGGGCCCCGCCCTGCCGTGCGTTTGCTGCCAGATGACGTGCAGAGAAGTTAATGGCGCTCCGTCAGTGCTGTGTGTGCGCACACAGCTGAACTGTGTGCACACGTGACAGGCAGAAATGGGATTATGTAAGCTGGTGTGCAGTTTCTCTCTAAGAGAAAGGAACTAACTGGACCCTGTTACCATGTCTGAAGGGAACGTAATCTGAGCAATTCAACATGTCCGCTCGGAGCCACCACCTGTAAAGGGAAAGTAAAATGTAATGATGGTTCTGATTAATGTGGACCACACATACAAGTAGAAACATGAAAGAACAAGGTACTCTGTGTGAAGGTTTTTATTTTATACCAGCTGGCATTGGATATCCCTTATGGCCAAGCTGTGTTTCTCCACTTTAACAAATGATCCTTTTTTTGTGGTCACCTATTAAACAAACGGGCATTCTTTTGTTTTTAATGTACGATTGGAAAACAAGATGTAAAGATAAATGCTGCAAATGGTAAAGATTGAAGCACAAGATGGCGTCTAGTCTGTACTCCAAACGGGTTATTTTCTGTTCTACATTTATGTCAGACATACTCATGGAAACACAAGTAGCATGCATCTACACTTAGCTGACGTGTCTGTGTGTCTGTCTTTAAAGGTACTGACATCTCCGTTGGAGAAGAGGTAGCCATCAAACTGGAATGTGTGAAGACCAAACATCCACAGCTCCACATTGAAAGCAAAATCTACAAAATGATGCAGGGAGGAGGTATGGTACAATCAGTCATACATATTACAGCCATTTAAATGTATTCCCATGTATAATTGGCTAACTTTGTGTACCAGCTGCTATCTGTCTTAACAACGTCATCTGTAAAGGAAATAAGTAAACACAAACCTCACAGGCAACACAAAGACCTATTGAAACTGAAAACACTGGTGCTTCTTATTCTTCAGACAAGGCATACCCCATATTTTACTTTTAATAATTACAACTTATAACTAAATGTCTAACTCAGCTCATAATGGTTTAGGCATTCAAATGATTGTCTGAATCAAAACAGAATAATTCATTACAGTAATATTTTTTCTAATTCATATACAGTAGTACTTCTCAGTTTGTTTTTCATGGACTCACTCTATCATGGTTTTTTTTAAGTAAGCATGGACATGACACTCCGTAGGCTGATTGAGGGATGAGCCACACGATCAGCATGGAATTTTTATTTAAAATAGATTATTTGAATAGATTTAGCACCTGTTTGCAGCCCACACTGCAGGAGAAGCTTCCTCCTGCAGCTGATCAGCTGATCCCTGTGCAGAGCGGAGAAATGGGTGTGGCCGAGACTGCAGCCAGAGGCAGAGAGCTGAAATCATGACATGCTGTTCTCTTTTAGAGCTTTTAGAGTTTAGAAACATTGTTTAGAATATTGCAAGAGTGTGGGAAGAGTTTAAAATACCTTTATATATCACCTGGTGGTGGATGGGTTAAATGCAGAGACTAATTTCGCCATTGTATGGAAACATACAGTGCTGACATTGTGATGACATTATATATATATATATATATATATATATATATATATATATATATATATATATATATATATATATATT